AGATATTGTTATGAGACTATACATCAACACACCCAAGTGGGCTTATTAAATGTGCAGGGTAAGAACTACAGTAAGTTGAAATCAAACGTTCACCAGCTTTTAGAAAATTGCAGGACATTTTTCATATGTACCTTAGAATTGACATGGTGATTACATCTACATCTAGATAGCATTAAAAAGAACATATCGTTAACGATAAAGAGCGGCCCAGAGTTACCTAAACCTCATCTGTCTGGATAACATGTCACGACACGTTGACCTTTCTTCACTCTGTGTAGTATGGTTAGTTACTGTTCACATACAGATGAAGTAGTTTGGTTTGGTTGTTGTTAAGTGCAAAGATATACAATAAGTTATCTGTGCTTTGTCCACCAGGGGTATCGAAAACCTAGCATGGCCTAGTAGTTATGGCACTCGACTCGCAATTTGAGGGTCACAGGTTCGAATCCCATCCCTGAATATGCTCATCATTTCAGATGTGGGGACGTTGTAAGTGACTGGCAACCCCACTATTCGTCCATAAAGAGCAGCCCAATAGTTGGCGGTGGGTAGTGTTGACTAGCTGCCTTCCCTCTAGTGTATCATTTCAAAATTAGGGATGACTAGCGCAGATAGATAGCCCTCCTGTAGTTTGCGCAAAGTTAAAAACAAACAAACTGAGCTACTGGAGGGCCACATGAAACAAATAAAAATGAAAAGAAATTGGTAAACTTCTCTGTGAAAACTAACATTTGGGCAACCCTCTACGTGTTTCTCAAAATTCAGTTCGAACTTTGGTATAATTTAGATTCAGAACTTTTAAATTCAAAACATTCTGGATCTTTTATTGAAGTATAGATATATAGATATATTTGATAAATATAAACCAGAAAAATAGTTTATATTTATTAGCTAATATATGCAAAACAAGAAATCTATTACACTAAATTTTCTATGTATAGTTTACTACTGTAAGACGTGTACACGTCATTAGCTCCTATATTACTATGCTCAAGTCATAGGTAGATTCATACATCAACGTGTGCAACTTAAGGTTATAAGAGTAATGTATAAATACGTGTATTTCACATTCTTGTTGCGTGTGTCGTATTTTATTGACACCTTGAGACAACCATCCAATATTTGTTTGTTTCAGAATTTTACTACAAAACAACACAAAGGGCTATCTGCGCATGGTCGTCCCTAATTGTGGACTCTTTGTTTGTTTGTAATTAAGCACAAAGCTACACAATGGGCTATCTGTGCTCTGCCCACCACGGGTATCGAAACCCAGATTCTGGGGGGCAATTGTGGACTGAAAGACTAAAGGGAAGAGAAGGTAGATAACTAACAGTACGCACAGCTATATCTAGTGTTATTCTTGTCAGCCCGAATAGTGGGAACTGACCGTCACTCTTGTAGCGCATTCACGATCCCATAGTACGGATCACGTGTTTGCAGCAACTGGCTATGAACCAGAAATCCACGGATTTACAGCCCGAGCACACTAACTCCTATGGCATATCTGGACCAGAATTAATGCTACACAACAGGAATATATATATAACATTATTAGGAGAGCCTCTAGTTTCACAGTTTCGTCATACGTTTTACATGTTTATTTTAACAACACAATAAAGTAAACGAAAAGACCTCAGAAAAACGCAATGCTTAAGTATAGATTATGTCTCTTAAAATATTCAAAATTCATCTCAGTAATTTTTGAAATAAGTTTTTTTTCCATACAAAATATGAAGTTAAATTACATTCCAAACCGTAAGTCTTTATTCTTCCTTTTTACTATAACATAGCTGTGTTTAAAAACTATGTATTTCGAATGAACATCACATTTAAGTTGATAAATTATCAAATTTCTTCGGCAATCCCACTTTTACAATCGGAGGGAAAAAGTTAAATTTCTGTATAGTGTCAATCATGCAAGAGAAGACACTATGGCGATTTTCTAATGGTCAGAACTGGATAGGTTTGTGAACAACTTATTGGTTAATTCCATGAACCTCTTCGTGCCTAGTTTATAAAAAACATTTTGGTCACTTTCGTTTAGCTTGTTCAAGTCTACTTTGTTAGTATCTCTCTTTGTTCAAGTTTTGCATCGCTATCCATTGTAAACAATTCATTGTTAAAATCGTGTGTTGTTCACGCTTTTAAAATATAATTGTAAGATTTCTATTGTTTGGTGGGTTCTTGTGGATTATTCAGTAAAACGTAATGCAGAGTACATTTGACTTAATGATAATACATACGTTTTATTTTTTCAACTATAAGTTCCACAAGTTGGTTCTAAGATCACAGTGCATGCTAATACAACAATTTAACTTACAAACTAACTTCTCTCGTACGTATACGTACGTCATTAGCACGTATCTTTAGGATTTCGTGCATAGTCCCCCGGTGAGTCAACGGTAAGTTTACAGACTTACAACGCTAAAATTCGGGGTTCAATTAACCGCATTGAACAGAACTCAGCCCACTGTATATCTTTGCGTTACAAAAACAACAAAACTTCTCAGCAAGCACTAACTCAATACTTACACAACTGAAATAACTGACTACCAATAACAGACTAACTGACAAACTGAACTTGCTAATCCCCAATCAGGCACTCACCCTAACAGACTCACAAATAAATCAATGTCTCAGTGTTTAAAACTCACTGCTCAAATTGTTTTTAAACCTTCAAGATGGCATCTCTATCTAGTATTAGGCCATGCTCGTCACGTGACGTCAAAGCTTCCTTTGGCAAACAACAATACAAATGTATAAATGGAACAAAAACACAGCTCACTACAATATTGTTTTCATATGTACTTCTTTAATAACTTAAAAATATTTTGATATCACAACTGTTTTTCAATAACTACAAAACACCCATCCCTTCTGGTGACTCAACGATAAGAATGAAAGTTTGACGCCAAAATTCAGGTTTCGAACCCTATTTTTACACAGCGAAGATAATCTATTGTGTTGCTTAGTGACAAACAAGCAGACTTTAAGACTATCATCCTAACTATTAGTAACATTTTTTACCGAATACTCTTACATTCTGAACATTCAATTTTCCTTTAAATTTCAGTAAAAAAAAACACGTTTTTTCTCGTACATTGCAAGTTTAGTACATAAGCTACTAGGGGAGTGACGTGTGCTTACAAGTATTAATTTAACGAGGTTTAACAAAAGTCACATGAAGTTAGATTTATTACAATTTTTAGGAGAACCATCAGAACATCTTTTTATATAATTCGTTACATCTCCCTTTCAGAAAGATGATTTTTTTCCAGTAACACACGCTATAAGTTTTAATATGTCTACTATAGCAAAGCATATAGAAAAGACTGACTAATGAATGCTGTATTACTGTGGTGAACTATATAGAAAGGATTGACTAATGAATGTTGTTTTACTGTGGTAAACTATACATAAAAAGTTTGACTAATGAATGTAGTCTTACCGTGGTAAACTATATAGAAAAGACTGACTAAAGAATGCTGTATTACTGTAGTGAACTATATAGAAAGGATTGACTAATGAATGTTGTCTTGCTGTGGTAAACTATACATAAAAAGTTTGACTAATGAATGTTGTCTTACTGTGGTAAATCGTATAGAAAAAATTTTGACTAATGAATGTTGTCTTACTGTGGTAAATTATACATAGAAAAGCTAAGTTTGACTAATGAACGTTGTATTAGATGAATGTTCTCTAACTGTGGTAAACTATACATAGAAAAGTCACATTAACGAATGTTGTGTTGCTGTGGTAAGCTACATATAGAAAAGTTTCACTAATGAACGCTGTATTACTGTGTTAAACTATACATAGCAAAGTTTAACTAATGAAAGCTGTCTTGCTGTGATAAACTATACATAGAAAAGTCTCACTAACGAATGTTGTGTTGCTGTGGTAAGCCACACATAGAAACGTTTCACTAATGAACGCTGTATTACTGTGTTAAACTATACACAGCAAAGTTTAACTAATGAAAGCTGTCTTGCTGTGATAAACTATACATAGAAAAGTGTGGCTTAAACCTAAGAAGATAGAAATCAATAATGTCTAATTGTTCATTGGTCTTGCGGAAACGACTTAACCCTAAAAAGAAAGAAATAGTTTATTGTTTTTTCATATTTCTTATTCTTATATCGGTTTAAATATATCTGACTTGAACGACAGTAAAAGAAGAAAGTTAGTTTTACATCTCTTCTTTCACAATTTCTATATGAATGATTTAGTCTTAAGAATACGTCTAATAAAGTCTGCTGCTTTTATCCTCAAACGTATTGACATACGATTGGTCCCTGAGGATCAGCTGTAAGTTTATGGACTTACATTGCTATAACCGAAGGTTCAATTTCCTTCGATGTACAGAGCGCAAATAACCCATTGCATAGCTTTGCGCTAACATCAACAACGACATATTACTAACTTCCTATCAGCCTCTTATGACTTCGTAATTATCTATAATTCTGGCGCAAGTCACGCAATGTACATTCTTTCTTCCTGGTAAACATAATTATATATAAGCCTTTCTTATCAGTAATTACGCAAGAAAGGTGAAGTTCACAGATTTTCTTAATTTAGAATGTTTATCTAAACGAATATGATTGAAACTCAAAAAAAAAAAGAATAAAAAGCTATTGAAGATTTGGGTTTATACACCTTGTAATCCATGCAGCTTTCTGCATGAGTTACATACCATTCTGTGTATTATTACACGCAATTCCTTATCAAGTAATATCCTGAACCTTTTAAACACCTACCCGGGTTGTCTTGCTGGACACAGAGCAGTTGGTGTCTAATTAATCTCTGACTAAACGGATTTCTTTTACTTGCTCAAGGCTCACGACGTTTCTGGAACGTTTAGGGTTAGGATGTAAGGAGATGTCATATAAACCGTCCATGACTAGTACTTCTTCACTGTTACCTAGGTGTTTTTTTTCAAATTCTGTCGATGGTCAACCAGTGTCCACGACGTGACCTCGTAAGAACAGCCAGACTGCATATCAGACAATTTCCGCGTGTCTTTTCATGTGAAGTGACAAATGGTCGGACCTGGAAAAGGCACGTTCACATAGACGGCATTGAAATGGTCTGTCACCAGTGTGCTTCCTGTAGTGCCTGGTCAATTCATCGGAACGTGCAAACTTCCAGGCACAGCCTTTCCACGTACATTGATAAGGTTTTTCACCGGTGTGTGTCCGGAGATGAGCTTTTAGGTGTGAACTTTTCGAATAGGTTTTCGTACAACCGTTGTAAGAGCAGGTGTGAACAGTTACACTCTTGGGTCCTCTTGATCGGCGTCCGCGCCTAGACTTGGGCGCTGGTGGTTGGAGGCTACCACCAGCATACAAGGTTGTGTTCCCCACCGGCCCGTGACCACTGACCAGAAATTCGGCCAAATGAGGGGAAGTTGGTGGAGTTACCATTCTGGACTGAGTAGGATAAGAAGAAGCGTAGGACTGGGTCATGCCCGAAGAAAGATGCGGGCGTAACAGTCCGGTTTGTGTTTTGGCTATATTCGGATGATAGCCTCCATAAGGGTTAACTTCATAAGTATATCTAATGGCACGACTGTCAGGAGCAGCTGTGGGCGAGACTTGGTGATTAGGCATAGCACAGTTGTAAACCGTCCAATTTCCGTTAAGATATTCCGTGTTTGCGTTATCTGTGTAATGCTGGTTTTCTGTTTTTACCTCTGAAGCCACTGGTACGTATCTCTGACCGCATGTGCTAGGACCGTACAAGTGTAACTGTTCCACGCCAGACATTGGGCCCGTTGAGGACACATCGCTCTTCATATTTGGATTCAAAACAGAAAATTCTTCGATGTAAAGCTGTTTGTTTCCTTCTAATGATAATCCCAAATCTATTCCTAAACGGCCGTCCTCTGGCGGACGAGAGTCCGATAACTGTGGCGGTGTCGGGTATTGGAATGTACCCGTATGCGACGGCTCTAGCTGTTGCTGGTACTGGTAACGCAGAGCCGTTGTGAACCCAGCTTGCGTGTTGGTGTTGAAATCTGAGGAAGGGAGTTGCCGAAGAACAGGCTGAACGGACTGCATTTCGTTGCGAGAACAAGAGTTGCTCATATCTCCTAATAAAACACTCTCAATGTCTTGCCACATCTAAAATATAAAAAATACACCCGCACCATATATTAATTTAAAAATAAAATATCCTACTTAAAACAACTGCATTTTTTTTACATAATTTGTTTTTAACAATCCAAAACAATTTATTACCTCTCTGTCATTCGTTACCTGCCTATCATTGTGTTAATTGTTTGCCATCTGTCTTTCATTTGTTACCTGCCTATCATTGTGTTAATTGTTTGCCATCTGTCTTTCATTTGTTACCTGCCTATCAT